CTGCTGGTAATCTGCCATCCATACTCTTTGGTACTACTACTTTTTTTTTTTTTTTTAATGTAATAACACCCAGTATGTTTTATCATTCAGAAAGCGAAGACAGGCTGGGTATAGTGGTACACACCTATAATCCCAGCTACATGGGAGGCTTAGGGAGGAGGATCACAAGTTCTAGGCCAGCCTAGGCAACCTAGCAAGACCTTGTCTCAAAATAACATAAATAGGGCCAGGGAGTTTGCTCAGTGGTGCCACCGCCTGCCTCACAAGTGCAAGGTCCCAAGTTTGATCCTCAGTACCAAAAACAAACAAACAAAAAAACCCCATAAATAAAGGGCTGAGGATGTGGCTTTGTGGCAGAGTGCTTGTTTAGCAAACATGAGGTCTGTGTTTAATCCCCATCCTTTTTGCGTCCCAGCCCTCCCCCCGCCATCTGTCTCTGGCCCGGTCACCCTGCACCGTCCCCTTCTGTGTCCAGGGCTCACATCTCTTACCCTGCTGTGGTCCGATACACAAGTGTTGGCTGCATGACTTGGTGTCTGGCAAGGGGCTGGCATTTCTTCTAACATTCGGGAATTGAGGCTGAGCTGCTTTTGAAGACCCTGGGTGAGCTGGGCGTTAGATGCAGTGAGCCGGAGTGCAGGTTGCACTTGCTGGTGAGAGTGGCCGGTAGATGGCTGGAGTTAGGGCCCTGGTGCCCTGTCAGGATGGTGGTGGAGGATGTCAGGCCTGGGGGTGGAGATGGCGCCCAGAGCCCAGGGTTCCTCTCCCTGGTGTCCCTTCCAGTGAAGACCAGCTCCCATCCGTCCTGTGTCATTGCAGGGAAACATCGTGGCCCTTGTGCATGACAGGGGAGACGCCGAGGATGAGGAGAATGACCTCCTGCTGAGCGGCCTCAGCCATCAGAGCCACCTGATCCTGCGGGCCGAGGGCCTGGCCACCGGGTTCTGCAAGGATGTGCACGGGCAGGTACGCGGGCAGCAGGGCCCCTGGGAGCCGGGCCGGGCGGCTCCTCAGCTGCGGGAGCCTTGGAAGCTGTGTGAGAGCGAGCCAGAGACCTGTGTCTCCTTGGTGGCGCCTTCGTGACCAGGCCAAGCTCTCTGAGGCAGCAGAGCCCCCTGCAGCACCCCGCAGGCTTCGCACATTCTGGTCCACACTGCCTTGGGCAGAAAGGGCTTGAGGAGGCTCCACTGCCCCTGCTCTGCCTTTGGGAGTCGGAGGAATGCTGCCTTCTGGCCTCTGGGGCTGCTGTGCTTGTGCCTCATCAGGTGTCTCCTCCTGAGTCACAGCCTCCAGTTAATCCCACGATGACCACTCCAGACCCTGGTTGGAGTCATGGCTAGAGCCGCTGGAAGGCAGATCTAGCAGAATGAGCGAAGGAGCAGGCCTGGAACTTGTGTGGGGAGATTGTGGCCTGGTGGGAGAAGGTCCTGCAGGCCAGTGAGGGCTCTGTTGTCCCTGTCCCCTGGCCCTTCCCTTGGAGTCATCAGCATCCCGCTTACGTGTAAATCCCAATGTCTAACAAGTACAGGGCTGCACAGAAGAAAGACAAAAGGAAGTGCATAAAAATACTGCCACTATTTTTCTCTGGGGGACCTTTTTTTTTTTTTTTTGGTACCAGGGATTGAACTCAGGTCCTTGTGCTTGAGGGGCAGGCGGTGGAACCACTGAGCTAAATCCCTGGCCCTGGGGGACTTTTTATTTCATTTTACTTATTGTTTTGCTTTCATATTTTCTGTGACAAGCAGATAGGACTGTAGTAATGGAAGGGAGGACCTTAATTTTCAGTTCCCTGTTTATTTTACACGTTGGTCCCATTAGCAGCCTTAGCTGAAGGCCGCAGTGAGGGCGCAGCGGGCTCACAGGCTGTGGAGGTCTGGGCGCTGCCCACTCTCCTCTTTGTCTCTGCAGCTCAGGATCCTCTGGAGGAGGCCGTCGAAGCCCACAGCCCAGCGGGATCCGAGCCTCACCTACCAGTACAAGATACAGGACAAGACTGCATCCTTTTTTGCCAAAGGCCTTTCTCCTGCTGTTCTGTGACCAGATTTGGGGGCCACGGAAACCAGGATGGACGCTCAGTGGGTGTGGACAATAGGGCTAAGTGGGAACGAGCCTTGTGTCTGGGTAGCAGCATTTCAGGCCAGACCACAGCTCCATGTGACCAGCAAACGGTGCATAGTGGTTGGTGTGCTCTGTGCCTGGGCCATGGTTGGGAGGCAGGGAGGAGTCTGTGGCCCTGACCCCGCTGAGAGGGCCTGGGTGGTGGGGCCCAAGCAGGGGTGTACGTGTCCTGACAGCAGCTGAGGAGGCCGCGCAGGTGTGAACCCCCCACCAGTTCCATGATGCACAGCCCTGCTGGCCATCAAGGGCCTGGCATGGGCCTTGGTCACGTAGGCCTGTGTCGGGCACTTTGAAACAGGTGCTTTGTTTCTGTGTATGAATTATATCACAGTGAATTTTATCTTAAAAATAAATACAATGGGGCTGGGGACTTAGTGGTTCCGGTGCCTGCCTCAAAAGCACAAGGTCCTGAGTTCAATCCCTGGTACCACACACACAAAATAAATAAATACATACATACATGCATACAATGAAAAAATAACTTTGTAATGTACTAATGAGCTTTTTTAGCCTTTTTTTGAGACATGGTCTTGCTAAGTTGCTGCGATGTCCAGGCTAGGCTTGAATTTGGGATTCCCCTGCCACAGCCTCCAGCATGCTGGATTACTTGTGGGCACATGATGCCCAGCTTTTACTTCGAAATTCTTCATGCTTTTTTTCATTGTTAGGTCAGTCAGGGTCAAGTAAAATTTTGAGAGTAAATTATTTTGTTCTTGGCCTTAAGATTACTTTTTTACTGTCTCAATTATCTTTTTCTGAAATATTTTGTTTTACTGAGAAAAACATTTCTAATATATGCAATAAGAGACTTGTTTCTAGAGTATGGAATGAACTCTCATGACTTAATGAGATCCATAACTCATTTTTTAAAAGGGTAAATATTTGCCCTATTGATGCCCAATAGCCATCTGTCCAAAGCAGAGACACATTGCCAGCAAGCCTATAAAAAGTTGCTGCAGCCGGGGATTTAGCTCAGCGGAGCCACATCTGCCCGGCAAGTGCAAGGTCCTGAGTTTGATCCCCGGTACTAGGAAAAAAAAAGTGCTGCACGTCTTTAGCCATTAATACAAATTAAATCCACAACGAGATCCCTTTGCACACCCAGTAAGGCGGCTGTGTTAGAAAGACCGACAGTAACAAGTGCTGACAAGGATGTGGAGGATTGGGTTCCTCACACTTGGACATTGCTGATGGGAATGAAAAAATGGTGCAGCCGCTTTGTTTTGGTTTGGTTTTTTGAGACAGAGTCTCACTATGTAGTACAGGCTGGCCTGGAATTCACTGTGATCTGCCTCAGCCTCCTGAGTGCTGGGGTCACAGACATGTTCCACCACACCCAGCTATGGTCCAGTCCTTTGGAAAACAGTTTGGCAGTTCCTTAAATACTGTATGTTAAACACAGATTTATGATATGACTGAGCTGTTCAGTCCATTGGTATCTATCCAAGAGAAGTGAAAACATACCTAAGCCAGGTGTGGTGCATAGGCCTGTATTCCCAGCACTCCGGGAGGCTGAGGCAGGGGAATGAACAATTTAATGATATAGTGAGGCCTTGTCTCAAAAATTAAAAGCCTGAGGATGGATCTCAATGCAAAGGCCCTGTGTTCTATCCCCAGTTCCACCAAAAAACCCATCAGTTGGTCTCTCTTCATAAACACTTGTATGTTTTCCTAATAGTGAAAAGTGGAAACAACCAGATATCTACAACTACTGATAAAACGGCAGTGTATTTCTACATGGAATATTAGTAAAATAAAGCAAGAGAGGACCGTGCACACTCTCCAACAGGGTTGACTCAAACACACCGGCTACAGAGACTGTTGTGTGGTTCCACCTGTAGGAAATGTCCACAAAGGGCAAATCTGTGGGAACACATGGAGCATGGTTGTGGGCCTGGGAGTGTGAATGGGAAACCACTGTTGGTTTCCTGGGGTGATGGGAATGTGCTAAAATGAAATTGTGATGGGCTGTCGGGTTTGCTCTGGCATGTGGCCTACCCTTACACCGTAAGGTGTGCTTCTTTTCCTACTTTTACTTGGCCCAAACTTGCTCTGAAGAGCCTGTTTCTTTTTCTACCTTTAATAAAACTTTTCCAACTGTTAAAAAAATTAGATTGGGGCCAGGGATTTAGCTCAGTGGTTCTGCCACCTGCTTCAAAAGCCCAAGGTCCAGAGTTCAATCCCCGGTACCAAAAAAAAAAAAAAAAATTTAGGTGTGGCCATGCCTGCCTGGCAAGCACAAGGGCCTGAGTTCAATTCCCGATACTGGAAAAAATTTGATTGTGATGGTTGCATAATACATTTACTAAAAGTCATTTAATTATACTTAAAATGGATGGATGTTATGGCATTTACATTATGCTTGGGAAGCTTAGATCTGACTCTGCCACTTACAGCTCTGCTGCCATAGCAGTGCCCTCCCAAACCCCAGGGCTTGAAACAAACATGCTCTTCACTTACACCACATCGGGGTTACAGGGACCCAGGCCAGAGAAGAGGCCATGGGGCTGCTGGGGTCAGGAAGTGACAGGTCAAGCAGGCCCTCTGGGGCTTGCACATCAGTACTGCTGCTGTTAGCATCGGCAGAAAGACATCAAGTCCTCCTCGTGATTCCTGCTCTGGCTTCCTGCCGTCCAGCCCCCCATTATGGCATGTGGAAGCCTCATGGCAGAAGGTTGAAGGCCCACGTCTTAACAACAGCAGCTGCCGTTAAAGCTCCAGATGCTCTGTTCTTATGTCCTTCAAATGAGCTTTATCTTTTCTACCTCTGATGGTCATCTCAAGGTCATGTGAGATGATACAGCATAGAGCCTGCCTCTGGCTAGAGCCCAACCATAACTGGTCACTAAGCCGGGTCCAGGGGCTTAGACCTGTAGTCCCAGCTACTTGGGAGGCTGAGGCAGGAGAATCACTTGAAGTTAGGAGTTTGGGTCTAGCCTGGGCAACAGTGAAACCCTCATCTTCAAAAAAAGAAAAAATAATTGGTCATTATTACTGGTTGTCCTTATGTAATACATTGGTTGTGAAATTTTGTTTAACAGTTCACATTAAGACACCTCTAGTGCAAGGAAATAACTTCTTAAATCTCTGGTTTCTAACACGGTAGGAGCTTGATAAATGATAAAAATATTGAAAGAATATCAATGCAATATTGAGATTTTAAATATTTTTTTTACCAACTTTATCATGGATAGAATGACTGCTATTTATTTATCAGAATTGCTGTGGGGTTTTTTTGGAGACAGGGTCCCCATATAGTTCAAGCTGGTCTTGTACTATGCAGCCCAAGCTGGCCTAGATCCTCCTGCCTCAGCGTTTTGAGTGCTTGAGCACCATGCCTGGCTGGAATGGAGGCATTTTGTATGTATTCCTACTCTGATCTGTTTTGTTTCAGAAGCCACAGAGATTGGAGTTCTCAGCTGCATCTTGGTCTTTACTTCGGAGTCAAGGTTCCCTGAGGTTAATTCTCACCACCATGGTCTTCTGCTTTCGTCAGAATGGGAATTTGAACCCCAGGAATGTGGAAGGCCCTTCCACTTTATCGTGTCGCTAGCTCCTATCTCTGCTGTTTAATCCAAGATGAACATGATGCCTGGTGCAAGCAGGCAGCCTGTGTGTAATGAAACCCCTGGGGCAGCGGAACAGTGAGCTGGAACTTGGGGTCTGAGGCCACACGGTCAGTTCTGAGTGACCCTGGGTACATTCTCTCTAGAGGAAGTTTTTTACGTTTATAAAATATTGTTCAGGACTGGTGCACACCTGTAATCTCAGCCTTCTAGAGGCCGAGGCAGTAGGATCGCCGCGAGTTCGAGGCCAGCTTGGGCTACATAGTGAATTCAAGGCCAGCCTGAATTACACAGTGAGACCCTCAAAAAACCAAAAACCAACAACAAAAAAGGATTGTCTTACTGATCAGGATTAAGAATAGGTCCAGGGTAAAAGATGAAGTTCTGGGAATTATGACTATTCCTTGATGATTTCCAGGCCCTCACTGGATGGCTCGCGGTGTCAGGGTCGTCCTCGTCCCACCCTGCTGCCTCTAGACAGAGCTGCTGCGCTAAAACAGGCCGAAATTGCAGAAAGTGGAGAAATAGTCATCCTGCGAGGCGGAAACAAAGGTTCTACTGGCTGCAGCCCCAGACCCTCGTCCCACGCCTTCAAATGGCACATCCCAGCCCCAGCTCGGGGGCTCAGCCTGTAATCCCACGAGCTCGGGCGGGGTCGGGCCCTTTCCAGGCCCTCCCTGCGCGCTCCGTCCCCCGAGGTGGTGTTGCGGCCGGTGGCCACCAGGGGGGGAGCGGGGGCCGCGGCCAGGCGGATAGCGCATGCGCACGCTGTGGGCGCACGTGCGGAGGGCGGTGGGGCGGGAGGGGAAAGGTAGGAGGTGAGAGGTGAAGGGGCGGGCGCAGCGCAGACGCCCGGAGACGGAGGGCGGGCGCCACGAACCGGGCCGCGGGCGGGAGCGCGCACGCCGCTCCCCGCCGCTCCCCGCCGCCGCCCGGAGCTGTCTCGGCCTCAGGTACCGTCGCGCGTCCCCACGAGGGCCCGACCTCCTCCGCCGGCTCCCGGTCGGTTCCGGAGCTTCGGCCCGCGGCGGGCGCTGTCCAGCAGCCGGCCCGACCCCGCTGTCCGCCAGGCCCGGCCGCGAGCGGACCCGGTCTGCCGCCTCGAGCTCGGGCTCTGGAGCCGGCGTGGGGCTGCCGGTCGCGCCGTGCACGCCTGTCCCTGCTCAGGGGGCCGGGCGCTAGTCGGCCGGGCTGGCTCCGGCGTAGGCGCTCGCGGAGGTCTCAGCCCTGCTCTCTGCTGTCGGGACTGCTTCCTACTATGGTTTATCACCTCCGCCTTGTACAGGAGCACCGGGCGGGCCTGGCGCTAGCTAAGGGAGCCCGGTGCAGGCTGCATCGCTGAAGGCTGTGCAGATGAGATGAAGGGGGCGGTGAGATCCAGGTGGGGCTCTTTTACTTGGATACAGGGTCTCCTAAGTACCCCAGGCTGGCCGTGGACTGGATGTGTAGCTCAGGCTGGCCCTGAATTGGATATGTGGCCCAGGCTGGCTTCAAACTCGCGATCCTCCTGCCTCAGCCTCCCCAGTGCTGCTGGGATGACAGGCGTGTGCCACTACGCCAGGTTTAGTTCTGGATCTTCACAGCACTGCCTTCTATGATGAAAGCCAGATCTGAGTGATGAAACTCTTCCTGGGGATTTTGTGATGATTGTTGTGACTTGGACATAGAAGGCGTTTCTCGTGATGTTATCTTTGTAGTGGTTTTGTCATTTGACCCAGCGTTCTGAGGAGTGTGGTTATGCATTGTTCTTATTGGTGTGCTGGTGTTCTTGACTGATGCCTAATTGAAGACAATGTCTGTTTGTTTTGTTTTGTTTTTGTTCTGACACAGGATCTCGGTGTGTAGTTCAGGCTGAACTAGAACTCAATATGTGGTCTAGTCTGGCCTCGAACTCGCAGCGGCCCTCCTACCTCACCCTCAGGATTGCTGGGATTCGGGCATGCACCACCACACCGAGCCAGAAGACGGCATCTTTTTAAACGTGTATTAGTATAGTCGAGATTTTTAAGTGTTTTACACATTTGTAGTGTTCCCACCGGGCACACGGTGTCAGAAACAATACATACAAAGATAAATATTGTGGCAAAAGGACACCTTTGTAGAGGCCTCCGTGTACTTTATAATCACTGGTTTACCACCCCTCTCCCCCAGTCTGGGTTAGTTTTACCGTCTGTGAGGTGGGTAAAAAATTGACTTCTAACTTATGGCTGAAAGAGGCAGAAAGGTTATGATTTGGCGAAGTCTCTCGTGCGCAGTTGGGGAAGTGGACTGGCCTGGGCCACCCTGTGCCGGGATTGCTCCGTTAGTGCTCCTATCTGGTGGCAGACTTAGGATACTGCTGTCTCAGTATCTAGCTTTGCACAGGACTGTGTCCAGGGACTGCGGTGACCCTCAGGTGCTTGTGCTGCTCATCGTGGGTGGCCGTTGGCTGGCCCCGGTAGGCACTGCATGTGTGGTTTGTGTCCTATCTCCCCACGTTGCTTTCTGTCGCTGTGACGAAACACCTGTGTGCAGCGTCTTCTGAAAACATAAAACACACACGGCATCGTGTGAACCAGTTGTTTCTGAGCAGAAACCTAGTGTAATCCCACATAATCAGACTAGTATTTCATATTAATAACCAGTTACAAATTATTATTAGTGAAATCCTGTCTCAAAGTCAAAAATAGAAAGGGCAGGGGATGTAGCTCAGAGGTAGAGCACCCCTGGGTTTGATCTCTAGTGCTGGAAAAACAAATTGCAGTTGGGAATGTGAAAGAGGATCTGATATTTCAGTTGTCTTTGTCTCAGCTACAGCATTAATCTTAAATTTCAGGCTATGATGACTGTTACGGCCCCTTAGACAAGACTAGTGGTTAAGATATTGTTGAACCCTTTCTACTCTATTTTTTAAATCATTTACAGTTTTAAAAAGTTTTATTAGTACATTTCCAGTACATGATAGGCTCATCAAGGGGAGTTAGTCTGTGTACATACAATACATCCTAGTTCCTTTGACGTCTCTGTCCGCTCCCCTCCTCCCCCACCTTCATCTCTTGGCCTTTCTACTTTAACCTTGTTCATTTGAATTGGAGGCCAGAGGGACTGAAAATATCAGTTCATATAAATATGGCACTTGTAATATGAATATTCCTTGTTTACTGGCTACCTGTTTAAAGACTGTTCCGACATACGACCTGCTGCTCAGACTTATGACCATCTTTTTTTTTTTTTTTTTTGTAAGTTCTGTACATCTTGTTTATAGAGCTTCAATGTCCTTTTTTGGTACAGTACACTTTGTTTATATACTACTGTAATTTTTCCTGGTTGTACTGTACAGCACAGTACTGTAGTTTTATGTTGTTATATATTACAGTACTGCACGTAAGGGTTATCCAAATAAAAGGAAAGTCATCAGGGGCTGGGGATTTAGCTCAGTGGTTCCAGCACCTGCCTTGCAAGCGCAAGGTCCCGAGTTCGATCACCGGTACCAAAAAAAAAAAGCAAAATCATCAGGTTGGAGTTTCCTTTGACCATTTCTTTGTTCTGAATATTGTAACATACACACTATAAACAGTTCCTCATTTAGCCACCAGTTCACCTAATGACTTAGTCACAGAAGCATAACTTGGTTGTTAAACGATGAATGCATGTAGTTTATTCTTTTCTCCGTCTTTAGTTCTCTTCTTCCTTCTTCATCTCCTTTTCTTCCTCCCCTCTTCCCTTTCTCTCTCCTTTCCTTCCATACTGGGTGTAAGTGCTCTACCACTGAGCTATATCTCCAGTCGCAGAGTATTTTCAAATCATCTGAATATTGAAATTCCAAATACATTGATTCCTTATCATTTTGACAAACTAGATTTCATTTTCTTCATCTTGATTCCACTGCAGTGGTTTATACATTATCTCAAAATGAGCAGTTCCAGGATTCTACCTAATTTTTTTTTCTACCTAATTTAAAAAAAAAAACTTTATTATCTTCCAGTTTGTCATTTCACTGTTAAATAGATTACTCTTTGTTCCAGACAGTGAATGCAAATGACAATGAGTTTTGAGCAAGAAATATATTTTCCTGCTGGCCGCAGTGGCACACACCCCTAATTCCAGCACTTGGGAGGCTGAGGCAGGAGAATCACAAGTTCAGACCCTGTCTCAAAATGAAAAGGGCTGGAGTGTAGCACAGTGGTAGAGCACTCCTGAGTTTGTTCCTCAGTACCGCGCACACACACAGTTCTAACTAGGGAAGCTGTTTACCCAGAGGGCACACTGTTGGTCCTAGCAGCAGTTCTCTAACCTCATTCAGCAGAGGCAAAGGGACGGGGGTGGTTTGTTTTAACCCCATCCCTGGAGTTGCTGATCCTGTAGGTCAGACGTGTGTTTGGAAATTTGAATTTGAAAAACCTCCAGAGCTGCTGCCTGTCCACCCTGTCCAGGCCAGGCTCTGAGAGTCTCAGACTGGCACTGTGTCTGGGTGGGTGAAGCCAGGGGCACTGCACTGTCCTGCTGCAGCCCAAGCCTGGCAGCACCGCCAGCTCTATCTTGTAATTCTGACTAGTGCAGAACTGGCCGGTTTTCTTCTTTCTTTTAGATGATATAATTAAGACTGCATTTTTAATTACAGTGTTATTTTCATTTTTTCTTCAATCCCATATTTCTAAATTTCTTGAGGGAGTTGAGTATTTATTTATTTTTTATTTTTTGGTACTGGGGATTGAACTCAGGACCTTGTGCTTGTGAGGCAGGCAGTGGCACCACTGAGCTAAATCCCCGGCCCTCAAGTATTTATTTTTTGTGGTAGTGGGGATTGAATGCAAGGCCTTGTCCTTGGTAAGCCCTTCTACCACTGAGCCACTAGCCTAGTTTGTTAATACAAGTCACCCGTGTTTGTTTGCTTACTTGCTTGCTTTTCTTTTGTGTGTGTGTGTGTGTGTGCGCGCGCACGCGCACGCGTGCGTGCACATGTGTGCGCGTGTGCGGTACTGGAGATTGAACCCAGGGCCTTTGCACTGAGCTACATCCCCAGCCTTCTTTTATTTTTTGTTTTAAGACAGGGTCTTGCTCAGTCATGAAGTAGCCCAGGCTGGGCTTGAACTTGTTATCCTCCTGCCTCAGCCTCCTAGAGTGCTGGGATTACGGGTGTGTGCCATCCCTTGAAGAAAGTTAATAAGCAAATACACACACACACACACACACACACAACCAGAAAAAACAAAGTTTCCATTGCCTGTGACCATGGCGGGCTTCTTGGGCTCCCCTCTGCTCTCTCTCTTCTGAATAATGTGATCTCACTGTTTGCTGTCATCTTCACATTAGGTTGTAAACATCTCTTGATCCTAAAAAAACTGTTCAACTTTTTGGTTTTTGGAAATGTAAAATCTCATTTGCTTTTATGTTTTCTGACAGCATTCTCCTTTGAGCAGCCCAGTTTGCACTTCGGGTGGCGGGCCTGGGCTGGGGCTTCTGAACACCACACTGTCACTCAGGGTTCTGGCACGGGCACAGCTCTGCTGTCACTGCCCCCAGCTCGCCCGCCTGCCCCGCCCTGCACCGGCCGGCCCTCGCCGCTGCCTTCTTCTCCATGTCCTGAGTGGGATTTTTCTTTCAGGCCCAATTTGACAGTGATTTGCTTTTGGCACTGTCCGTGACGGTGATGGCGACTGTTGGGGACATCCAGACCTGCGTGGAGCAGGTGCAGAAAATTTGTGCTTCATGTTCTTGTCGGGGAAGATGATCTTGATCTTAATTCCCGAAGCCCTCTGGAGCCCATCGAGAAAGGACACTCTGGCACCGTGCTGGATGCTTCTGTGCACCTGTGTCCAATCTGCAATGTTCTCTCGTGAAGCTGGGCCTCAAGGAAGCCCTGTAATCTGGTCTCCCTCCTAGTTGTTTTTATTCAGCTCGCTTTGCCTGGCACCATCTTCTTGCACTGTGGTCTTTATGGAAGGCTTCCAAGGAAACCTGAGGCTGAGGAAAT